TTAATTTTTAAATATATTAAATTATTTTCATATATATTTTTTTCAAATTACTAGTTTATTGTTATTTAGTGAGAAACGTAAAATGTACATTGTCCTAAATATCAGTTTTAGCTGTTAAAAATCAGTTTTAGTGAGACCTCAGGATCTTGGGCATCATTAGTTTTGGAAGACTGGAAAAGAACTGAGGTAGTGAGTGACTACGATCTTCAGTACTATGAGGATTATAACCAGGCTATGGTGTATAATCTGGTCTCCACACCGGATATTGTGCAACAAGTTAAGCAGAATCAATGACATGATTCATATCTCCAAGGGATCTGGATTCGAATCTAGAATGCAGAGCAACTCGAGGATTGGAGAATCCGAAAGGATGGAGCATTGTACTTTCGTAACTGGCTTGCTATTCTTAAGGTAGGTGAGATTAAGAAGACGATTCTGCAGGAGGCTCATAAATTGAGGTTTACTATTCATCCGGGACGCACCAAGATGTACCAAGATCTGAAAAGACAATACTAGTGGAGAGGCATGAAGAAAGACATTCGTGAACATGTTTTAGAATGTGTGACCTGTCTCCGGATTAAAGTAGAACATCAGAAACCGGTTGGAGAGTTACAACCTCTACTTGTTTCGGGATGGAAATGAGAGCATATCACCATGAATTTTCTGATGGGACTACCGAGAACTGAGCAGAAGCACGATGCCATGGGAGTACCGTTAGCAGAATTGTACCTGGAGCACATCGTGAGACTTCATGGAGTGCCGTTATCCATTACATCCGATCGTGACACCCGTTTTAATGCAAGGTATTGGAGGAGTTTTTAGGAAGCCATGGGAATAGAATTGAACTTCAGCACAGCATTCCATCCTCAGACTGATGAGCAATCTGAAAGACTTATTCAGATTCTAGAGGATATGCTTCGTGCTTGTATTTTGGAATTTGGTGGAAACTAGAAGAAATACCTGCACCTTGTGGAGTTTACTTACAATAATAGCTACCAGGCTAGTATCGTTATGGCACCGTTTGAGGCTTTCTATGGTCGTCCTTGTAGGTCACCTGCGTATTGGCTGGAACCAGAGGATCGACTTACAACTGGACCAGAAGTTATTCAAGAGAATAATAAGAAGATAGCTCTTATTCGGGAATGACTGTTAACAGCTCAAAGTCGTCAAAAGAGCTATGGGGACAGAAGGTGTAGACCTTTGGAATTCCAAGAAGGTGACTTCATTTTGTTGAAGGTTTCCCCACATAAGGGAGTTGTTCGGTTTGGTGTGAAAGGGAAACTTGCACCAAGGTATGTTGGGCCATTCCCGATCGTGTAACGAGTCAGAGTTGTAGCGTATTGTTTGGCTTTACCGCCTGAGTTATCTCACGTGCATGACGTGTTCCATGTCTCCATGCTTCAAAAATGTCAACTGATCCCGAAGTCGTGGTACAATGGTATGACGTTCTGATACAGTATGACACGTCATACGAGGAGGCACCAGTTTAAATTCTTGATCGGAAGATAAAGAGCTTGCGTCATCGTGAGATCCCGTTAGTGAAAGTTTTATGGCAGCACCATGTAGTTGAGGAAGCAACATTGGAGCTTGAAACGACAATGCAGGAGAGGGTACCCGCATCTGTTTGCATTTTAAGGTTAGTCTTAATTTTGGGGATGAAATTCCCTAAGGGGGTAGAGTTGTAACACCTTGGAAAATTAAATTGGATTAATCAAGGTAATTGAGATTTATTAGTGTGCCTGATCTGGATTAATTAATTGGTTATTAATTAATAAATGTTTCTAATGTGAGAATTTAAATAATGCTAAGGTATTTAAATATTCTCAGTATTTACATTTTTACCCAAAAGTGTGTATGGACACATTTTTAAACTGTTATTTTAAAATATTGGACACATGTCTTTTCTTTTCTTTTTCCTTTTCCTTTTCTTTTCTTTCCTTTTTCTCTTTCTTCCTTCCCTTTCCTTTCCCGTGCCTACTCTCTCTCTCTTTCTCTCACTCTCTCTCTCTTTCCTCTCAATTTTGGCCCAAATCAACCTGATCTTGAACCAAAGAAAGAGTTGAAGAAGTTTTCAACGTCAAGAGGTGTATTTAACGTAAGATTTCTGAAAAACCTCCCTTGAATCTTGGATATTCAGATTTGAAAACCTATTTTTGGTTCAAAACGTATTTTGAATAAAACCATGGTAGAAATTGGAGATTTTGGGTTCTTTAGACTTGATTTAGTACTTAGAACCCGATCTAATGGTTTTCCCTTGAGATATTTTGATTTTGAACTCAGATTGCAGGCTTTCGGACTGATTTTGCGAGCTTCTCTCGCACTGTTGTTGTCCACCGGTCGACCGGTTCGCACTATGTCAGGTTGACCTGTGCGGTCGACCGGAGTGCACACCACCGATCGACCTGTGGTGTTGCACTGCACTGTCACCGGTCGACCGGTGTACACGGGGTTTGACCCTGTTTTGTCTGAAAGTACTGTTTTGACCTCTGTTTTCAAGAAGAACCCAAATTAGCTTCATTTGGGGACTTGGGATGAATGGCTTAGCATCTTTAATCCATATTTGAGATTTAAAACCCTTGGAATGATGATTTGAAACATGAAATGGTTTATGAAATCGGTAAATGAATTATGGCACACTAATAGGAAATCTTGGTGTATAATTAGGATTGAATTGCTTTAGGAATGAGAATTAGATCCTAAAATATTGTTTTGTATCAGTGCTAGCTGAGGACGACTCGGATTGAAAGGCTTGAGGAAGCAATAGCCGGAATAGAGCAACGCTAGTCACATGTTTGATATTGACAGGTAGGATTTCTTATCCCTTTTCCTTGTGAGCCTGATTTTCAAGAAAGAGTTTTGGCTTTGTAAATGTTTTAAAGAAAGGAGCTTGTTTGCGAAAGAAAAATATTTAAAACCCATGGCTTGATGTAGTTCATGGTATCCATGGCTTGTTGTAGTTCATGGGACCATGGCTTGATGTAGTTCATGGGACCCATGGCTTGTGTAGTTCATGGTGTTATAATAAATGATTTCAGAAAGTTTAATGAATGATTTCTTAAGACAAGAGATCTTGCGAATCGGTAAACCGGCTGATGGCCAAGATAGGATATGGAGAGTGCATCCTTGGGGCTAGAACCCAAAACCCGGCCCAAGGGTGATATGGCTTGTGCACGTGGTTGTGTAAGTATTTTATCATAGCATAAATTACTTGCTGATGCCTGTAATATGGATATTTTCATATATGTTTCATTTGAGAAAAAAGATGTGAAGTTCCGGCTGTTGTGTTGGAACTGAATGTCTTATTTTATATACTTATTCATTTATTTATTTACTCACTTATTTATTATTCATTTATTTGTAAAGTTTATTTCAAATTATATCCTACTGGGTCTTTCGCTCACGTTTTATTATTGTATAAATATTAAACCCCTCCTAGGTAATTCTAGAAGCGGTGCGGAGTAGCTGAGTTTGTGCTACCATCAGATTAAGAAAGGATTGTGTTCATCCTCCTGACATATATACAAATGTAAGGAATTGTAAATTCTGTAAACTCTGATAATTGGATTTCTAGACTGTGGTTGATGTCTGTAATGTTGTTTACATTTTCATATATGTACAATACTGTATGTCTTGTGGGTGGAGCCCTGTGTGTTGTCAGAGGCTCGAGATTTAGAACCTCCTCCTTGTAATTTACTTTAATTAAGTGTGGGGCTCGTTTGGAATTTCCTTTATTATCGTGCGTTTAACCCATAATCGAGCTCCACGTCACCTGCTCCTGTGTGGGGGACGTGACACTTTTCTTATAAATCTAACCAAACATCAAACTAGAATTACATTCCATTCTATTTCATTCATTTCCACCCAACTAAACACACCCTTAGTAATATGGGGAAGTTTGTAAAAGCATCCCAAGTACTACGTTGACGCGGCTCTAAGTCTCTTCATCCTCTACTGAACACCTCATACTCAAATTTATTAGATAAAAGAGAAAAATAACTTTAATAACAACAACAATAATAATAATAGAGGGAATACTTTGTGTCAAACAAAGAAGAAAAAATCTTATTTTTCTTTTTATGACTACGAATAAAGTCAAGACTCAAGGAATAACACGAAATTTTGTACACATACAGGGAATAACTACGAACTTTCTTAAGCTCTTTTTTTTTTCTTTCCTAATTATTATCGCTTTTCTTTCCCTTTTCTTTTCTTTGAAAATGAAAAGTTTAATACGGCCCAGCGTTAGTGGCATTCTCATGTTGGTTGTCTGATTTGTATATCCGCTCCCCTAAAAATGCTTCCGCAAATACGTAATTTTCTCACTTGTTGAGCCCGGTGGTGTGAGCGGACCCTTAGCTAGTGAGGCGGGGCAAATTACTCTATTTTGATTGGGTATTCCCCTTCCATTATTTATATAAAACAGAAAAAACAAAATCACGAAATAATTAGTTCAAATTAGTCTACGATGAGACACGCTTTCAACATCATTGTTTATCTTGAAATTTAAAGACCCATTTGCAACCAACAACCATTTATCCTCTTTATTAATTTTTTTAAACACAATTGTTTGAACGTAAAAAAAGTATATTGTCCAGACTCAAGGTACATATATTTATATTATATACGTTATGTTTTTTAAAAGATTCTCTTTCGAAAGCGCGCGGTAGGTGATTAATATTGACCAATTTAATATGAGAAGTTTATCCCATACTATTCCACTTCTGATTCGTGAATGATTTTCCTTTGTGATTTGTCATCGTCTCCTTGGTAGCATTTCTAAGACGAGGGAATTCTCTCACTTTTTTTTTTTTTTGGGAGATTTGTTTTATTGCTAAAGAAGACAAAGACTTGACTTTGAGACGTACAACTAGTCTACGGGCATGCAATAAACTAGGAAGATGCCCCGGAAGACAAGTAATAATATATGACCACATACCAAAAGTTAATAATATATGGCATTTTCACACCAAAAGGACAAAAATATTTGGGGCACTTTTATATTAGTTCTCGTGGAGTAATCTGAGCTCAATATTTATAACATTTTGTACTTCTGTAAATTGTTGCTTCCACGTCAGCGGTGAGTTTTTGGTGTTGTAAAGGTGACCTTGGAGAGTTCCACGTGCCATGTGGTCGTAGACGAGGATCATCTCACGGTCCTCGTTGCAGTAGCCGATTAGAGAGACGAGATGGCGGTGACGGAGATGAGAGAGCATCTCGATCTCGATCTTGAACTCATGGGCCTCTTGGGATGACTTGGACTTTAGTCGTTTGATGGTGACGGGATTGGTCCCATTATCAATGTACCCTTTATACACGTTTCCAAACCCACCCACTCCGATGATGAAAATATCTTGGAAGTTGTTAGTGGCGGCTTTAATCTCAGCCAATGAAAAGTAACGGCATAAATCGGATGGCAAAGATGATGAACCTCGAGTCTTGCTTGACTTGATCCTGTTAAACGAAAGACGACCCCACCCTCTTCGGAGAATAAAGAATCCGAGAACGACAAGTAGAATTACACCGGAAATTACAGTACCGCAGATGATGGCAACGATAGATGTTCGATTCTTTTCAGTTTCCATCGGTTGTTGGCTTGCGGTTGGGGATTGCAGGATTGTCGGCCTTTACCCCTTCCATCAGTAATTCTCTAGATAGGAATATGATACAGTCCACTGCGCCATAATACTCTCCTTAAAACGTAGTGATAAGCATAGTTTATTTTTTTTTAATTATTCTCTTTATTTTTAACAAAAATTGTAACATGGGATTAAGCGAGTTTAATTCAAATTTCAAGAGTAAATGAGAATAGTCAAAATTCATAGGTCAGGTTGGAAATAATCTTAAAATTCAAGGTTAAAGGGTGAGATCATTCTAAAAATTTAAACTATAGATCAAACCCTTAGAATTATTAATTTTAGTAAAAACTGTTTAAGGGAATATTTATAGTAGGACATGCATTTTTACTTTACTAATAAAAATTGTTGTTTTTAAGCACTGAATTAATTTTTAATGGTTGGATTTATTCATATCTGAATTAGTTTTTAAACACATTTGTTTGAACCTCGAAAAAGTATATTGTCCAGACTCAAGGTACATATATTTATATTATATGTGTTATGTTTTTTAAAGATTCTCTTTCGAAAGTGAATGATTGGTGATTGATATTGACCAGTTTAATATAAGACGTCGTTTTTGCAATACTATTCCACTTTTGATTCGTGAATGATTTTCCTTTGTGATTTGTCATCGTCTCCTTGTTAGCATTTCTAGGACGAGGGAATTCTCTTTCACATTTTTTTTATTTTTTATTTTTTGGAGATTTGTTTTATTGCTAAAGAGGACAAAGACTTGACTTTGAGACGTAGAACTAGTCTACGGGCATGCAATAAATTAGGAAGATGCCCTGGAAGACAAGTAATAATATATGGCCACTTACCAAAAGTTCAAAAAATATATGGCCTTTTTCGCACCAAAAGAAAAAAAAGAGTAATATATAGCCTTTAATATTCTCTTTTTAAGCTTAAACTTTGGGGCACTTATATATTAATTCTCGTGGAGTAATCTGAGCTCAATATTTATAACATTTTGTATTTCTGTAAATTGTTACTCTTTAAAAACATAATTTTTAAATTCGTGCGATTTCTTTAACTAAATTAAAAAACTTACTTTTGCGATTTAAGTACCAAATTAATAAAAATACATGCGTGACTATGCTAAAAAAAAGGCATGGCGCAAGGCCGAATAGAGACATTATTTCGTTTTCCCCTTATCATAGTTAAAAAAAAAAAAAAAACTCCCATACATGTATTTTATGTACGTACGTGTCTAATACAACACAAATAATATTATACGCTACTCTGTTACTATTTGAAAACCTTATGTTAATTTGAAAAGCTGATAGGACATTGATAATTTGAAAAACTTAAGTTACTATTTATATACTTATGTATATCCTACTCTGTTTATCTTCTCTTTGAATCCTTGATCTCAGAGAAGACAGCCCTAGACATTCCTTTCATGGACTCGTCCGTACTGAATCTCTGCTCAGAGCTATTGATTTTAGTCATCCCACTACTTCTCAACTCCAATAACTCTTACTAGCTATATGTGAACGTTTCGTCACTGTTGTTATTATTCATGAAAGAAACTTCCTCCTCACCTTTACCCACCATTATTGCCCCACCAATCACGTCGCGTTTTGCTGTAATTGCATTGCAAATTCCAGGCCCCACACGACGTCGTTCATCGACGGTTTCTCTGTCCCATTATCATGCATACTGGTCACAGCAATCTCACTATATTTCTTCAAGCACTCTGGCGCAATCTTGCTCGTCAGATTACGATCTATGATCTGATGAAGCGTCCCGTTGCGGTAACAATGTTGGGCCCACTTGTAACGACCGGGAAAATTTAAGTCTAATCCGGACAGTCCGGTATTTGACCATAATTCTTTTTAGAATAGAAAATAGTAGAAATGTGGATGTGATGAAGAAAATGTTATGTAAAAACTTTATATACGAGGTAAAATTTCCCGAAATATGTAAAGTTATAATACGAATATTTTTACAAAGAAAATTCATAAATACTAGTTATGAATAGTGAAATATCAGTTAAAAGTTAAAAATTTTAGCGGGTATATTTTAGTTATTAAAAACTGAAATATTTGGTTTATGACCAAATGACCACTTAGAAAAAGAGTATAAATATTAGAAGTAAGGAAAATTGCAAAAGTTCCTGAAACAGGATTTTCCCGAGTCAGTTAAAGCGGGAAACTGCTAAAAAAACCAGTGCCGCAAGGGTAAGGTTTTAGGCAATTCTGGATCGATTAAAATGAAAATTTCATAAAAAGAAATTGACTAATGAGATACCCAAAAGAATTGGGTTGAACATGAGAAATTTGACCCAGGGTACTGACAGTCCAAAAAAGCAATATAGAACCTATTCTGGGTGTGAAATTATAAGTACCGGAAAGAGACTCGTTTTGAGAAACGGAAAGTTAGGTCTCGACAAGAAAAATGTGGGGAATATAGAACCACTTAAATTAAGTGTTAAACTTAAGTGGAATTAGTAAAATTAAATTATGGGAATTAAAGTAATTTCTTTAATTTAGAAAGTAATAAGAAATATTAATTAAATCTTAATTTTGCTCTTAAAACGTGAAGTAAAGGAATTATAAGACAAAAGGTGTTCTTCTTTTCCTAAGAGTGGCCAACCAAGAGGAAAAAAGGGAGAAAAAGAGAAAAACTAGGCAAAACTCTGCCGAAATTTCTAAAAACCTAAGTAGTAGGAAAGGAGTTAGGAATTCGATTCTTGAAAATGAATAAGAGTGTTAAGGCTCGGGAATGAATAGATTGAGGTTCAGAAACTGCACACAACGAGAATTCACAGTTTTGGACCGAAACTGAAAAATTAGGCCCATGACTGAGTAACATGCATGGTTTTAGTGCACATTCTTGAGATAGAAAATATTTTGGGATTAAATACCAAACATAAGGATTGTAGACCTTTTCGATTTAAATTTCAATATAATTATTGATCTTAGATTTTAAATTTAACGATAAGAAATTTATGCAATAGGATCGATTAACGATTGAAGTCGGAAAGCGTCAAGTGAGACAAAGGACGCGTCGATAGCAAAACTTTGGTAAGTAGAATAGTTTTTCTATAACTATATCACGAACAAGCTTGCTTTCCTGTGTTGCACAAAAATTGTGCATATGGTAGAATTTTGAATGTTAGATACTCTGCTAAGCATGTACCTACAAGACTTATGTAATCGTAGAACTTTATTCTGCGAAAAGTATGTATCGATGTTAAGTCAAGCTCAGGCATAAGAGAAAAAGTTAAACTTTAACAAAAAGTTAATCTCATGATAAATTGCTTAGAAATGCATAAATTCATAAGATTTAATTAAAATTACTGTTTCAATGAGAAAATTGATAAACGGTAAGAGACTAAACGTCCTGTTTATACCAGCCTTCGAAGGAAAGGTTATTATGAGACTATGAGGGAAATGAAAACCGTGACTGAGCTAGATTGGTTAGCTACCCCACTCCTCACTGGTTATGCGCGCTATGGTACAACAGGACAGGGCCTATAAAAAGTAAAAGACAAGAAAATGAAACACATAAACCATTTCATATAAAGGTTTGGTATCTGTAAAGAAGAATGAAAAGAATGAGAAACGCAAGTTGGAAGTCGTTCAGAACGTAAAAATACAATATGACCGAGTGTAATGAGACGAAAGCTCAATAAAGTACGAAATGAAAGAAGAAAAACATAAACCTTACATGTTTTAGTAGTACGGAACGTATTAGGGTATATGACATGATGCCTATATGGGTATGCATAATTATTGCATCTGTTATGACCTATTGATACTTGCTGAGCGAAAGCTCATTAAGTTTGTTCGTGTTGTAGGAAGCTCGGGTAAGGCACCGGCTCCCTGAAACTTGTTGCTGAGCATGCATAGGGGATATAGCAGCGGAGTGTGGGCAAGTGGGTTGAGCATGCATCACGTGCTTTGAGAACGCTGTTGAACTTTATGTGTAAAAATTAAATGGTGTTTTATGAATGTAAATGGCTTATGTAACAGAATGCTAGCTAAATGCTACAGCATTTTACGAATGGTTGAAAACAGAATGCTAGCTAAATGCTACAGCATATAGACGTAAGAATGGAAAAAAAATATGGCCTGAATTTTTAAGAGGTTATATGTAGTAAGTAGTAGAGGTTAAGTAAAGCTGAGTATGAACATAGGATGATGATCAAAAGTTAGGTTGTCACACCACTCGGCTAGGCTTACTTGTCCCTTCTCGGCGTTGCGCATTATCGTTGGCCTGCCGCAAAGAACCTCGCACAAAACCACTCCGAATGAGTACGCGTCCGATTTTTTTGACAGTTGTTGACGTCTGTAATACTCCGGGTCAAAATACCCGATACTGCCCTTGACGACTGTGCTGACATGGGCTATAAACATGGTAGTGGGGCCCATTTTTGAAAGCCTGAAATCGGAGACCTTGGCTACCCATTTCTCATCCAGAAAAATTTTTGTTCTCTTCACGTTGTGGTGAATGATCATTTACTTCGCGCCTGTGTGGAGATAGTGCAGCCCGCGCGCGACTCCGATGCAAATCTCGAGGTGTTGTTTCCACGTCAGCGGTGAGTTTTGGGTATTGTAGAGGTGTCCTTGGAGAGTTCCACAGGTCATGTGGTCGTAGACGAGGATCATCTCACGGTCCTCGTTGCAGTAGCCGATTAGAGAGGCGAGATGGCGGTGACGGAGATGAGAGAGCGTTTCGATCTCGGTCTTGAACTACTCATACTCTAAATCAAATTGTTAAAAAATTAATCAAATTGTTAAAATTGAGCATTTCCATCTCGGTTTTCAATTTTGCTTTTTAAGAAATGCAGTGTCAAACGCATATGTGAGAGCATTTTCATTTTTTGGTCCTTGAAAAACGTGAAAAGCGTTTTTGAAAATGCTTCCAAACAGGCACAAAATCTCTCCCAGCTTCATTAACAACCTCGACAGTTATTTTCCCGTAAAATTTCAAGCGACAAGAGATAAAACCCTGGAGAGAAAATGAGATTTCTTTTAGGTTTTGCTTTGTTGGTTTGAGGAGTGAAACAGAAACTTGTAAAAACTGCATGAATATTGTTATTGATTTTAATTTCTTTAATTAAAGTTATAGTATTAGTCCATTAAATATCTGTTGAATATGTGAAGGAGATGTTCAGACATAAATCTAGGTTAAAGAACTCAAATTACAGGTTGGAATCGCGGAACTGGATAGACATGCGTTCCTGGGGAAAACAAAAGAAGAAAATTTTCTATGTTTCTAATGGAGTTGTTAACATATTCTGCATTTCCACATCGTTGATAACTATTAAGTTTAAATAAGTCAAATATTATAACTTATACAATGAAGGGCTGATCTTACCTTTATCTATGATCTGTGGTACATACAAAGTGAACCCTACCACAGCAAGAAAGTATATGGATATATATATATATAATATATATGTATATATATATATATATATATTCCGTAAGTGGTCATCAACATGAGTACGTGGCCCGCTTTGCGAAGAGAGATTCTTCAATTTGGACAACAAAAAGCATAACAGAGACGAGATGGCGGTGACGGAGATGAGAGAGCATTTCGATCTCGGTCTTGAACTACTCATACTTTATATCAAATTGTTAAAATATTAATCCAACTGCTAAAATATAAAAGCTTAAGTGATGCAAAAATGCATGTCCGGCCATAAATTTTGCTGAAAATTAATCTTTTCTAAGAAAATAAAGAGAAAAGTTGTAGCAGGGTTGGGAGAAGGTTGTAGCAAATTTAAGAAACTAAATAAACTAAAGAGCATATTTTAAAACTATTTGAAATAAATAGTAATTTATGTGGTAAGTGAATCATTTACTGCTTAAATGGCTCATTTATAATTAGTAAAAATATTTTTTTATGTAGATTTTCTTTATACAATAGGTAAAAAAAATTTCACACACAAATAAGATTTTTTAGGATTTTTACCACGTAAATTACTCTTTTACCATTCATAAATGAATCATTTATAGTGTAAAGTGTAAATAAATCATTTACCATGTAAACTGCTATTTACTTTAAATAGTTTTAAAATCTGTTATTTACTTAATGTAGTTTTAAAAATCTATTATTTACTGCAATTTCTCAAAAATAAAGGGGAAAGTTGTAGCAAGTTCAGCTTATACGTACTACCAGTCGTGCATGTTATGTACCATAGGATCAATCTTTGACGAGATTGATGTCCCAAGGTCTATCTGATATAGTATAGGCAGGTTGTATGGGATAAACAACTCATACATATGAAAACGTAAGAGCGAAAAAAAAAAATCCTTCATCGCAATCTTTCTGTCCATTTCTGTTTCTTTCTTCTCTTCTTTGGTTTTAGCAGTTTTTATTCTACTTTAGCGCCTCTTTTCCGTTAAGTTTGCTGTGAGAATGGCTTATTCTAGCTTCAATTTCATCTCATTCGAAGGCTTACTCTCAAATCTTTCAGACAGAGAAAAAATTACTCTCTTCTCTTCCTTACGAGAAAAGCTCTTCTCAAGAGTATTGAGTTTGGATACATCTTCAACAGTTTCGTTCACTTCCTTCTTCATCTCCTCTTCATGAATCAAATCTCTCCCAGCTTCATTAACAACCTCGACAGTCATTTTCCCATAAAATTTCAAGCGACAAGAGATAAAACCCTGGAGAGAAAATTGGATTTCTTTTAGGTTTTGCTTTGTTGGTTTGAGGAGTGAAACAGAAACTTGTAAAAACTACATGAATATTTTTATTGGTTTTAATTTCTTTAATTAAAGTTATAGTATTAGTCCATTAAATATCTTTCGAATATGGGAAGGAGATGTTCAGACATAAATCTAGGTTAAAGAACTCAAATTACAGGTTGAAATCGCAGAACTGGATATACATGCGTTCCTGGGAAAAAAAAAAAAAAAAAGAAATTTTTCTATGTTTCTAATGGAGTTTTTAACATATTCTGCATTTCCACATCGTTGATAACTATTAAGTTTAAATAAGTCAAATATTATAACTTATACAATGAACTGATCTTACCTTTATCTATGATCTTTGGCACATACAAAGTGAACCCTACCACAGCTTTTCCCCGAAAGAAGAAAATATATGAATATATATATATATATATATATATATATATATATATATATATTCTGTAAGTGGTCATAAAAATGAGTACGTGGCCCGCTGTGCGAAGAGAGATTCTTCAATTTAGACAGCAAAAAGGAAAAGTCAAAAGTGGTCCGAAAACGTTATCCATTTAAATTTATCAACCACGTGGCCTTTTTTTTTATTTTTACTTATAATAGGATGATATGGTATGATTTAATTAGTTAGACACTAAAAAGTTAAATACAGTTTTTAGATCTAAAAATTTAGATTAATTTTTAAAAACTCAAATCTCTTGTTCAATTTTGATGTTTATATTGATATCTAACTAATCATATCATGTCATATTGTATAAAAAATTGAATTATTTTTTAACTAAATTTTTTGTGCGTATTATGAAATAATATGATATAATTTAATTGGTTGAACATGACAAAACAAAATTGAACTTTTCTAGTACTACAAATTAATATTTAAAGCCCGGCAGTGACAAAGCTAACGCAAAAATCAGTGTGGCAAGAGTGAGAGGAAAGTAGGAAACCATGGAAGCCACTGTAATGAGGGATCTCTCTTTAACGCTGTCGGTGATGGCTATAGCTATTATACTCAGCACAAGTCACAGCTTGATGTCGTATTATTCCATTAATAAAAAAAAAATCCGATCGAATTAGTATATGCCAGTTTTCTTGAATGAGATTCTTCTTGCATACCATTTTTTTTAACCTTTCATATATATTTTTTCCTATAATTGTAACCCTCAATTTTCTTTTTTAGTTATCTAGGTTCTGATCATACATGACAGTGAAACTAATGAAGTCAAAATCGAAGTAGTTCTGTCTTAGTACTTTTTTTTTTTTTTAATGCCGCATTCATTTCTCTCTATTCAAGCTTTTATTTATTTATTTATTTATTTTTCTAAGTTTTTGTCTCTCACCCAAGATCATCATCCACAATGCAAATGTTCGTATTATCTTTAGTACAAAATCACTAATATAATATTCTTTTCGATCCAATATTTAGCTATTGAATTAGGGGTAAGGTAGTGTTGAGTTATGGAGTCTAATTAATTGCACTGTAAATCGTCTTACATAGAAGATTTCATGGAAATACTGCAGCGGTTGCAAGAGAACATTGTCTTACAATTTCGTGTGTCAATTTTACATGTTTTGTTTTCTTGTATTTTTATTACTCTCAGTTACGCAAAATTAGAGTTTCTAATGATCTTAACAGATAGTACCAATATACCATTAAGATATATTGGAAGTCACAATATTTATATTCTTCGTTTCTTCGTTTTGCGAATGACAGTTGCTCACCAATATGTTGTTATCCATCCAGTGACCTTGCCATGTGCAAACTCACAATATCTTTTACTGAACATCCATCAATATCTTTTACTGAATAAATAAAAAGAGCATCCATCAATTTTATAATATGTGACACCAGTAACGACAAATATAAAAAGTTATAGACAATGTGCAAGGATTAATGACAAGTTCATTGACGATAGATTTTTATTTACATTACATATACATGATGTGACTTTGGCTTTGTGCCTAACAACCAAAGTTTTGTGCAGTCTCCAGTACAAATCAACCTCTAGTGCATTTAATACAGTAGCCATTATTTCCCATATGTGACTTTACAATGCAAATTAGCAATGAATTATTCCAGCATATATGTCCTTTTGAAAACCTGATGCCTGCGTCTTGAATAGTTTTTTCGATGAAACAAATTTACAGGGCCGTCATTTGTATTTGTACGCAATCGATATATGACTTATAATAACTAAGCAGATTTTTGTGTTGTGAAGTTTCGAGTTAAACAACATATAATATAGGGAGAAATATTACCTTCTAATGAAGATGCCAGACAAATGGTACTTCAGAGCATGTCTCTTGTGTAGTATATATTATAATTAAAGAATAAAATAAAAACAAGAAGAGAAGATCGATAATGTGCTTTTTTTTTCATGGATTAAAAAAACAAGTTGATTCATTAGTAATTAAGTAGCATTAAATATGAACTCTACATAAATACAAAATACAAATCGTATAAGTTATAGCATTTTTTAAGATAAAAATAAATACAAATAAATGAAAACTCCTAATAAAGATAACTATATGCAAAGTGTTAACTTTCCTAATAGTATAGTGCTAAGTTATTTGTTCTCAGTTTTGAACCACCACGAAGTTGTATAGTTCGTACTATATATAGTAGACTATATTGAAGCTTAACAAAGTATTAGCTATTATCATATTTTTGACATTTTGAAATGGAACCAAACTGATGCAGCGCGTTGTTTTCCTTTAGTTTGGTCAATCGTCCTTCAAGAATTAAGGCTTTGCTTTTTATCTTGTTTCTCTTTTGTTGTTGTTGTCGTTTTGCACCGAATAAA